GGAGGAGCCCGAAACCACCTCGCGGGAACCTCCCCAGGGGCCCCCAGCCCCCGCGCACAGGCGGCTCCCGCCCGGCTTGACCGCCCGCTGGGGCCCCGGCGCGCCACCGGGACACCTGTGCCGGCGCGGACGCGAGCGAACGTGCGAGTTCTCCCTCTCTGAAAGGTTTTAGGGAACGCTCAGACTTGGGTTCTGGGGATGCGGCCCCTTGGCGGTAGGGTCGCGTGGGAACTGGAACCTAGGCGATTGCCCCTGGGAGCCCCCCGCCCACGTGACACCTCAGCTCTCGCGGCTCCCCTCGAAACTCCAGCACAGTGAGTGCTCGCTGGGCTGCTGACGCGTATTCTGGCTTCCCAAACCTGGGGAGGCGGGAGGGCTCTGGACGAAAACCCTTCTGCTGTGTGCGAGATGTGCATATTTGGCAAAGATTTGAGATTTTCTAGGAAGTTAAAAGAGGGATATTCTGGGGGACAGTTTATATTTTTGATGTAACCTGAGCGCAAAGTATTTTTCTTTGTTCCCTTCACCCATCCATGCATCCCTGTTACAGTTCGTAAAATGCAAAACTTGGCTGGTTGTGTATGCAACATATAAAGCAATGCTGAAACAAAGACTAGAAAGGAAGAGGAATTATGGCAGAGGGCTGGAATGCTCAACTTGGAAATATTATTTTAATCGTAACCTAGGGGGAGAGTTTTACTGTAGAACTATACTTATTCAGAGTTATGTCATCAGGTCAGTCTTCCAGCCTCTGACTGGCACCGGCTGAAATGACCATCAGCAAAGGTGAACTTTGATATTAAGTGAGTAACCTGCACATGCACTTAATACACTTGCAAAAAAAAAGAGAAAAAAGCCTGTTTAACACCAGTATGTATTCCTTAGGGGAAAATGTTTTAAATAAATGTAACCAAACAATAAAAATGATTTTAAAAAAAGAAGAAAAAAAAGAAAGAAAGATGTACTATTCATTCAGTTACAATGCATCCCTGCATATTTTTAAGTACTGAGCTTTACATATATTTTCATTCACTCTTAAGTATAATTCAATTAAATAGGTTATGGAGTCTGGTCTGCTTGATTCTAAAGCTAAATACTCTTAATCAATAATAATTTACTTATGATCCCTCCACCCCAAAATGTTGTTGTTGTTGTTGTGTGCCGTAGAGTAGGCCCCAACTCATAGCAAAGCAACCCTTCCTTGGGTACATTGCCCAACCTTCCCTCCGAAGAGTGGCTGGTGTGTTTGAACCGCCAGCCTTCTGGTTAGCAGTCAAGTGCCTTAGGCATTATGCTACCAGAGCTCCCCCACCCCAAAATAATGGTTGCTAATACTCTTGAATTGTTCCTCTGTTATTAGATACTTGTATTGTTAAAATGATATTCTACAGTACATGTACATGTATGTCCATAGCAGCCCTAATTCAAAATAGTGGAAGAGTGGAAACAGCTCAAATGTTCATCAATGGATGAATGAATACAAAAATTGTGAGAAGTATATATACACATGCATATGTGTGTGTGTGTGTGTGTGTGTATACACATACATATATTTCAGCCATAAGAAGGAATAAAGTACTGACACATAATACAACATAGATGCATATTATGCTAAGTGAAAGAAGTCAGACACAAAAGGTCACATATTGTATGATTCCATTTGTATAAAATATCCAAAATAGGTTGTCAAAGACAGAAAGGATATTGGTGGTTACCAAGGGTTGGAGAGAGAGGGTACAACTGGGGAGTAACTGCTTAATGAGTATGGAGATTGATTTTGGGGAGGTGAAAATGTTTTTGAACTAGGTAAAGGTGTGGTTAGGCATCATTTTGAATATACTAAATGCCGTGGACTTGTTCACTTTAAAATGGTTAGTTTTATGTTATATGAATTTCATCTCAATAAAAAAATCAAAAAATGATACTTGCAGTCTACAGTTTTAAACTGCTTTTCACAATATATTTCTGAGCATTTTTCTATGCAAAACTATTTGAACATCATTATTTTTCATTATTATCATACTTTATTCACTAAAGCAAAAAACAAAACATAACTATATTCTGTGGAGTTCAAGATGACTCAAGTGTCATAGGAGTATGAGCATGATAAGCTCTGTGGAGTTTCCAAGGACTGATTTTTTAGAGCCTGCCTTCCAAGGTGGCTTTCTCTGGGTGGACTGGAAACGCCAATCTTTTCAGTTAGCAGCCAGACATGTTAACTGTTTATGCCACCCAGGGACTGCAATTTATTCACCAATCTCACATTTTCATCTAATGGAAATAGCAGTAAGATACTCATCTGTGGTTCTACATTTAAAAAAAACTCACTGCCTTGAAGTTGATTCTGACTCATAGCAGCCCTATAAGACAGACTAGAACTGGCCCCGTAGGGTTTCCAAGGCTGTAAAGAAGCAGACTGCCTTATCTTTCTCCCAAGCATTGACTGGTGGGTTTGAACTGCCCACCTTTTGGTCAGCAGCTGGGTTCTGCATTCTTTTGGTCAGCAGCTGCGTTCTACACACCATTTGACGGGCACATAACAACAACAACATTTTTTCCATAGACTAAACAATTAGAAGCAAAATTTTGATGTCAACAGGCAAGCATATTGAAAGATTTTTGATATATGTTTCTAAATTACTTGTCTCAATTTTTCAGTCATGTAAAATTTTTTAGATTAATAGATTGTATCATTTCCTTAAAGAGCTCTGGTGGCAGAGTGGTTAATCTCATAAAAGTGCTTCTGTCCCTGCTTGCATATATGATAATTTGATATCAGAATAATATCTCACCTTTATTTTAAATGTTATTCCTTTGATTTTAAAAGCTATGGATGTTAAACTTCAATAAAGCCCTATTGTGAGGAGCTGAGAGACTTTGAACAGTATATTTTTTAAAGTGGACAAGAAGCATAAATGTTGTTGTTAGGTGCCATCAAGTCATCTCTGACTCATAGAGACCTTATATACAGCAGAACAAAGCACTGCCTAGTTCTGTGCCACCCTCACAGTCCTTGCTATACCTGAGCTCATCATTGTAGCCACTGTGTCAATCCACCTTGTTGAGGGCCTTCACCTTTTTCATTGACCTTCCACATTACCAAGCATGATATCCTTCTCCAGAGAATGGTTCCTTCTGACAACATGACCAAAGTAGGAGAGGTGAGGTCTGGCCATTCTTGCTTCCAAGGAGCATTCTGGCTGCACTTCATTCAGGACAGATTTGTTTGTTTTTTTTGGCAATCCATGATATTCTCAGTATTCTTCTCCAGCACCACAAGTCAAAAGCATCAACTCTTCTTTGGTCGTCCTTATTCATTGTTCAGCTCTCACATGCATACGAAGCTATTGAAAATACCATGGCTTGGATTAGGTGTACCTTACTCTTCAAGAAGATATCTTTGCTCTTCAGCACTTGAAAGAGGTCTTTTGCAGCAAAGTTGCCCAATGCAATATGATGATTTCCTTTGTTTTTAATTCTATTCCTTTGGTTTTAAAAGCTATGAATGTTAAACTTCAATAAAGCCCTATTGTAAGGAGCTGAGAGACTTTGAAAAGTATATTTTTTAAAGTGGACAAGAAGCATAAATAGCCTTAGTATATGATGTGACCTTGAATCATTCACTATCATTTTAGAACATATCAAATCAACTAATCTAAATGACTACTGTTTTTTTGGCAAACATTTTTTGTCTATTATGTGCTAAACTATATATATAAATATATTTGTATATATAATATATCAATATATAAATTTATTAAGAATACAGAAATAATAAAAATAAGATTTCAGTACTATAAGGAGTCAGTCTCACTGAGAGAAAGTTGTGTAATAATTACAATTAAATGTCATGATAAAGATACAAACAGACACTTAAAGAGCAGCCTTGCGAAATAGAGACCTGAGTCTAACATTAGTAATGGTTCTTTTCCTTAAAATATTTTTCAAACTCATTTTTCGTATTGACTTCAGATTCTACAGCAAATTCTTCTGCATAGTTTTTGTGGTAGCAAGTATTCATCTCTTAGAGATAGGGTTGATTTTTAGAAATAATTAAATGTTATTTAATGCCAAGTCTGGTGAATGAATAGGTGTTGATTATGTTTGGGGGGTTATAATTATGTAATTGGGGTTTTGGACTCCAACTGGGACTTGCTTACAAATTCATCATGTTTTAAGCTAATTTTATTAAGCGGATTTTTGGAATTGAGCCTGTTCCTTGTACAATACTGCTGTGTCTGGTAAGGCAGTGGCATGCAACGTTTTTTTTTTTTTTTAACCCAATTCAGTGAGAAACATATTTTCTTTCATAACCCAGAAAATACACACACAAATACAACAGAAACAAAGATTTCATAAAACAACATACTCTTACCTCATTCAGCACATTCTAGTATATTCTATTCTATTCTTAGTCAAACTAAGCACTAAGCAATTTTTAAATTGCTCAGGTGACACACAAAAGTGATTCTATCAGCTACTAATGAGTCATTATTTACATTTTGATAAATAGTGCTCTAGGTTTAAAATGGGAGCTCTGGTGGTGTAGTGCCTAAGGCATTTGACTGCTAACCAGAAGGCTGGTGGTTCAAACCCACCAGCCACTCCTTGGAAGGAAGACAGGCAATCTACTTCCATAGAGATACCGCCTCAGAAACCCAAGGAGGTGTCACTATGAGTCGAA